ACTCAGGCACAGTCTCTGGCTTGGTCTCTAATACTCAAGCTCAGTCTCTGGCTTGGTCTCTTACACTCAGGCTCAGTCTCTAGCTTGGTCTCTAACACTCAGGCTCAGTCTCTACCTTGGTCTGTAACACTCAGTCTCTAGCTTGGTCTCTAACACTCAGGCTTAGTCTCTAGCTTGGTCTCTAACACTCAGGCTCAGTCTCTGGCTTGGTCTCTAATACTCAGTCTCTGGCTTGGTCTCTAACACTCAGGCTCAGTCTCTAGCTTGGTCTCTAACACTCAGGCTCAGTCTCTGGCTTGGTCTCTAATACTCAGGCTCAGTCTCTGGTTGGTCTTTAACACTCAGGCTCAGTCTCTGGCTTGGTCTCTAACACTCAGGCTCAGTCTCTGGCTTGGTCTCAATCACTCAGGCTCAGTCCCTGGCTTGGTCTCTAACACTCAGTCTCAGTCTCTGGCTTGGTCTCTAACACTCAGGCTCAGTCTCTGGCTTGGTCTCTAACACTCAGGCCCAGTCTCTGGCTTGGTCTTTAACACTCAGGCTCAGTCTCTGGCTTGGTCTCTAATACTCAGTCTCTGGTTGGTCTTTAACACTCAGGCTCAGTCTCTGGCTTGGTCTCTAATACTCAGGCTCAGTCTCTGGCTTGGTCTCTAATACTCAGGCACAGTCTCTGGCTTGGTCTCTAATACTCAAGCTCAGTCTCTGGCTTGGTCTCTTACACTCAGGCTCAGTCTCTAGCTTGGTCTCTAACACTCAGGCTCAGTCTCTACCTTGGTCTGTAACACTCAGTCTCTAGCTTGGTCTCTAACACTCAGGCTTAGTCTCTAGCTTGGTCTCTAACACTCAGGCTCAGTCTCTGGCTTGGTCTCTAATACTCAGTCTCTGGCTTGGTCTCTAACACTCAGGCTCAGTCTCTAGCTTGGTCTCTAACACTCAGGCTCAGTCTCTGGTTGGTCTCTAATACTCAGGCTCAGTCTCTGGTTGGTCTTTAACACTCAGGCTCAGTCTCTGGCTTGGTCTCTAACACTCAGGCTCAGTCTCTGGCTTGGTCTCAATCACTCAGGCTCAGTCTCTGGCTTGGTCTCTAACAATTCTAGATTTAAAGCTTTCGTGACTGCAAGGATCCATACTCTTTGGTTCAATTGGGTAAAGTCACGTAGGTAAAAAATAAAATAACAAAAATCACGACATTTCGGCCACAACACAAGCGGCCTTCATCAGGTGAAGGGACGAGACTGTCTGGAGGACAGCGCTGGAGTGAAAAAAGCCACGCTCAGATCACGACCTTTAAGCTGTGTGAGAAGAAACAAAGCGCCTTGACAAAGGAATTAGCATATCATTTAGCATTAAAATGGCTGAGTGATTAGCTTGTGACTGGTCACTGAAATGGCTATGTTAAAGTTAAAGCATACACATCCGCAGAGGCACCCCTTGATAAAGGAATTAGCATAGAATTTAGCATTGAAATAGCTAAGTTAAAGTATACACATCCGCAGAGGCACCCCTTGACAAAGGAATTAGCATAGAATTTAGCATTGAAATAGCTGAGTGATTAGCTTGTAACTGGTCACAGAAATAGCTATGTTAAAGTCAGAGCATATACATTCACCGAGGCACCTAGTACAAATCAAACAGGAGAATTTAGCGAAACACAACCATGCTCAGACCGCGGACCTTTAAGCTGTGTGCGAGCAAACAAGGTGTCCTGACAAAGAAATTAGCATAAAAATTAGCATTTGATTGGCCGATTATAGAAAAGAGGTGGTGTACGTGCCGGTGGACTGGCCGTTTGGCGCGTGGGGGGAGTTTACCTATTGATGGTGTGAAAAGGGAATTTATAAGAGCTGCGAAAGATTGGGGTACCACTACTTGAAAAATATACTGTACCAATGAAATTAGTTTAATGTTTAGTTCGATTTAGAACATCTTTCCAATGGTTGCTTAATTTGTTTCTTCTCACACAGCTTAAAGGTCGTGATCTGAGCGTGGCTTTTTTCACTCCAGCGCTGTCCTCCAGACAGTCTCGTCCCTTCACCTGATGAAGGCCGCTTGTGTTGTGGCCGAAACGTCGTGATTTTTGTTATTTTATGTTTTACCTACGTGACTTTACCCAATAGAACCAAAGAGTTTGGTCTCTAACACTCAGGCTCAGTCTCTAGCTTGGTCTCTAACACTCAGGCTCAGTCTCAGGCTTGGTCTCTAACACTCAGGCTCAGTCTCTAGCTTGGTCTCTAACACTCAGGCTCAGTCTCTGGCTTGGTCTCTAACACTCAGGCTCAGTCTCTGGCTTGGTCTCTAACACTCAGTCTCAGTCTCTGGCTTGGTCTCTAACACTCAGGCTCAGTCTCTGGCTTGGTCTCTAACACTCAGGCCCAGTCTCTGGCTTGGTCTTTAACACTCAGGCTCAGTCTCTGGCTTGGTCTCTAATACTCAGTCTCTGGTTGGTCTTTAACACTCAGGCTCAGTCTCTGGCTTGGTCTCTAATACTCAGGCTCAGTCTCTGGCTTGGTCTCTAATACTCAGGCACAGTCTCTGGCTTGGTCTCTAATACTCAAGCTCAGTCTCTGGCTTGGTCTCTTACACTCAGGCTCAGTCTCTAGCTTGGTCTGTAACACTCAGTCTCTAGCTTGGTCGCTAACACTCAGGCTTAGTCTCTAGCTTGGTCTCTAACACTCAGGCTCAGTCTCTGGCTTGGTCTCTAATACTCAGTCTCTGGCTTGGTCTCTAACACTCAGGCTCAGTCTCTAGCTTGGTCTCTAACACTCAGGCTCAGTCTCTGGCTTGGTCTCTAATACTCAGGCTCAGTCTCTGGTTGGTCTTTAACACTCAGGCTCAGTCTCTGGCTTGGTTTCTAACACTCAGGCTCAGTCTCTGGCTTGGTCTCTAACACTCAGGCTCAGTCTCTGGCTTGGTCTCAATCACTCAGGCTCAGTCTCTGGCTTGGTCTCTAACAATTCTAGATTTAAAGCTTTCGTGACTGCAAGGATCCATACTCTTTGGTTCAATTGGGTAAAGTCACATAGGTAAAAAATAAAATAACAAAAATCACGACATTTCGGCCACAACACAAGCGGCCTTCATCAGGTGAAGGGACGAGACTGTCTGGAGGACAGCGCTGGAGTGAAAAAAGCCACGCTCAGATCACGACCTTTAAGCTGTGTGAGAAGAAACAAAGCGCCTTGACAAAGGAATTAGCATATCATTTAGCATTAAAATGGCTGAGTGATTAGCTTGTGACTGGTCACTGAAATGGCTATGTTAAAGTTAAAGCATACACATCCGCAGAGGCACCCCTTGACAAAGGAATTAGCATAGAATTTAGCATTGAAATAGCTAAGTTAAAGTATACACATCCGCAGAGGCACCCCTTGACAAAGGAATTAGCATAGAATTTAGCATTGAAATAGCTGAGTGATTAGCTTGTAACTGGTCACAGAAATAGCTATGTTAAAGTCAGAGCATATACATTCACCGAGGCACCTAGTACAAATCAAACAGGAGAATTTAGCGAAACACAACCATGCTCAGACCGCGGACCTTTAAGCTGTGTGCGAGCAAACAAGGTGTCCTGACAAAGAAATTAGCATAAAAATTAGCATTTGATTGGCCGATTATAGAAAAGAGGTGGTGTACGTGCCGGTGGACTGGCCGTTTGGCGCGTGGGGGGAGTTTACCTATTGATGGTGTGAAAAGGGAATTTATAAGAGCTGCGAAAGATTGGGGTACCACTACTTGAAAAATATACTGTACCAATGAAATTAGTTTAATGTTTAGTTCGATTTAGAACATCTTTCCAATGGTTGCTTAATTTGTTTCTTCTCACACAGCTTAAAGGTCGTGATCTGAGCGTGGCTTTTTTCACTCCAGCGCTGTCCTCCAGACAGTCTCGTCCCTTCACCTGATGAAGGCCGCTTGTGTTGTGGCCGAAACGTCGTGATTTTTGTTATTTTATTGTTTACCTACGTGACTTTACCCAATAGAACCAAAGAGTTTGGTCTCTAACACTCAGGCTCAGTCTCAGGCTTGGTCTCTAACACTCAGGCTCAGTCTCTGGCTTGGTCTCTAACACTCAGGCTCAGTCTCTGGCTTGGTCTCTAACACTCAGGCTCAGTCTCTGGCTTGGTCTCTAACACTCAGTCTCAGTCTCTGGCTTGGTCTCTAACACTCAGGCCCAGTCTCTGGCTTGGTCTTTAACACTCAGGCTCAGTCTCTGGCTTGGTCTCTAATACTCAGTCTCTGGTTGGTCTTTAACACTCAGGCTCAGTCTCTGGCTTGGTCTCTAATACTCAGGCTCAGTCTCTGGCTTGGTCTCTAATACTCAGGCACAGTCTCTGGCTTGGTCTCTAATACTCAAGCTCAGTCTCTGGCTTGGTCTCTTACACTCAGGCTCAGTCTCTAGCTTGGTCTCTAACACTCAGGCTCAGTCTCTACCTTGGTCTGTAACACTCAGTCTCTAGCTTGGTCTCTAACACTCAGGCTTAGTCTCTAGCTTGGTCTCTAACACTCAGGCTCAGTCTCTGGCTTGGTCTCTAATACTCAGTCTCTGGCTTGGTCTCTAACACTCAGGCTCAGTCTCTAGCTTGGTCTCTAACACTCAGGCTCAGTCTCTGGCTTGGTCTCTAATACTCAGGCTCAGTCTCTGGTTGGTCTTTAACACTCAGGCTCAGTCTCTGGCTTGGTCTCTAACACTCAGGCTCAGTCTCTGGCTTGGTCTCTAATACTCAGGCTCGGCTATGGCTCAGCTCTGGCTTGAGCCACTCACTTGCTTTTAAAGACGCGTGAGTGGCTGGCTCAGCTATGGCTCGGGCTCAGCCCCATGGAAATTCTAAGCACGACTGGGACCACGCTCTAACTGGGCCAGCTCAAGTTAAACTTGGCTTAATTAAGCTGGCTCATTTGAGCCAGAGTCAAGCCAGAGTCGAGCCTGAGCCGAGTCGAAACTAAAGAATAATGCGGGCCATGATAGGACTGCGGTGCCATGGGTGCAGGGGGAGGGAGCGTACTTGTAGGACGACACAAAGGACTTGGTGATGTGGGCGTGCGGCTCTGGAAGAGGCACCATCACATCCTCCACGTTCCAATGGTCGCCGCCGTTGCTCGTGATATGCCAACCGTCAAACTGGTCTTGCACGTACAGAGTGCACGGGTGAGGGGGGCAAGAGGAAAGATTGTCTTTTGTCAACGTGACACATTTTTTGCTCATTGGCCATGTCGCGAAAGCCAACGTGTTAAACTTCCTCCCATAGTTAAAATTTTAAAAAACCCCACACAATGCAACCGCTGCTAGCCGAAAAATCCCAATGCTGAAAGATTATCTGGGAAATTACTCAATTGGGAGAACATAAGAGGAGCAGCAGCAGCAGGCAACATCGTCCCCTACTGTGAATACTTAAGACCCAGTGAGGATTTCCTAGTATATCAGAATGGCTGTGTGAGGGTGATCTGGACACATTCCCATCAGTGAGCTCGCTCCGGATAGATGGGGCTATAAACGGGCATGACACTCGGCTAGAGACGAGATGGAGCTTGATGCGGTACGGGAGGATGTGGAGCTGAGTGGACTTGCAGAAAACCGGTACCAGCGGTGTCAAAATCAGCCTCTGTGGAGGAGGCTCATGAAGGACGCTACTGGGCAGCTGGAGACAATTTTCTCTCAAGCACCATCAGAGGGCAGAGGAGCGACGCTCACAACAGCGAGTTGAGCGCCGGGTGGTTAAAATGCGGCATGTTGACACATTAGGGGTCACAGCTGGATAATCTTGCAAGTCATCTCAGTCGGTCAACCCGTGGCACCTGGGTCTGTCCCGTTACCTCCTATCAGCAGCGATAACCTCGACACTTCAAGTGGTAGCCTGAAAGTGCACTTAGCCTGGCACAGGCAACGTGGTGACGTCACCATCACTTAGTGGCGAATGGCGGGTATTGGTGAGGGTGAGTGGATGAAGTTCGTATGTTCTCCCCCCTGTTCTGCATGGGGTGTTCTCCATTTTCCTTCAATAGTTAAAGAAAAAAATATTCAAAACTGATATCGGTACAAATATCCCAATGCTGACAAATATACCTCACGAATTACTCAATTGTTTTACCAAGGATCACGGAGCAATGTATGGGCCTTAGCAGAGCAAGCAGAGCACTGGGCGGATAAAACGCAGCAAGTTGGCACAATGGGGAACACAGGTGTGGCATCTGCCAGTCATCTCAGTCAGTTAACCCATGGCACCTGAGTTGGTCCTGTGATCTGTTAGCAGGCTTTCAACACTCACTAAACTAGTTTTTTTTTATTTCACCAGGTAAGGCTGACTGAGCTATTTCACTCTTTTTCAGAAGCGACCATGCCACAAATGATAGCTCAATGAGGAGGCTTACCACGTGGAAATGTATTGCAGCCAAATACTCTAAACGTGTGATGTTGATCCTAAATGTGGAAGGGAAAAACTGGAGGACCCAAAAAAAACTCCAAGCGACCACTCGGAGAGAGAGACGCAAACTCAAAATATTCAGCAGGCGTCAGGGTTGGGATCGAACCCACAACCTCCTGTATACCTGGTGAGGTAGTTAACATCTCCTAGCCACCACGACTCTCCTGCAGGGTAAACACAAGCAGCATAATAATAATGATCATGATAATAATAATCATGATAATAATAAGTGGCTTACCATGTGGAAATGTATCGCAGCCAAATACTTTAAAAGCACGAGGTTGGTCCTAAATGTGGAGGGTAAAACTTGAGGACCTGGAGAAAAATCCATGCCACCACCGGGATAGCATGCAAACTCCAAATGTATACTGCAGGCGTCAGGGTCGGTTATTAAACCCACGATCTCGTGTAAACCAGGCGAGGTAGTTAACATCTCCTAACCACCGGGGCACCCTTATCCACTATCCAGACCCCACTTAGTGTCCGATGGAGACAATGACGAGATATCAGCGTTAAAGGCGGACCCCAAGCCCAGTCCTCGCGATGGTGGTGGTGGTGGCCACAAGCGACGTAATAATAAACTATGACAATAAATATGATGATCCCAATGATGATAATAATGCTCACTGGTAGCGCAGGGGTTCTGCAGCAGGTTCCTGCTGAACGGGCCCTTCAGGTAGAAGGCCCTCCAGTCAAACGCGGGCGGCAGGGGCATCCTGCAGCAGCTGGCATCACTCCACTTGCCCTCGCGCCGGCATTTGAGCTTCCACAGGGCGCCCGAGTCGACGAGGCGAAGCCAGGCGGAGCACACAGCGCGGCAGTGGCGGCTCAGGTCGGCCTCCGGCACCCAGCTCAGGATCTCCAGCAGGACATCGTCCGGGGCGGCCGACAGGTCGACGAGGAGGGGGAGGGGGCACGGCGCGGACATGTCCTCGGGGCGTGGGACGGTCGGCCGTGTCGCGCTCTGACCCATGAGGCGTGCCAGCGCTACGCGCTCCTGGGCGCAGCGTGCGGACGTCATTGGCTGTTAACACCGGCGCTGAACTGCTTTCGCAGCCGTACGCTGCCAACCGCACCAATCCGAGGTGCGGGGGTGGGGGACAATAAACTAACACAAGAAAGCAGTTCTAAAGAAATGAGTTTTCAATTTAGTACAGTGGTGTCATGTAGTGTAGTGTATAGTAGTGTAGTGTATAGTCGTGGTGTATAATAGTGTAGTGTATAGTATAGTGTATATTAGTGTAATGTATAGTAGTGTAGTGTATAGTAGTGGTGTATAATAGTGTAGTGTATAGTAGTGTAGTGTATAGTCGTGGTGTATAATAGTGTAGTGTATAGTAGTGTAGTGTATAGTAGTGTAGTGTATAGTAATGGTGTATAGTAATGTAGTGTATAATAGTGTAGTGTATAGTAGTGGTGTATAATAGTGTAGTGTATAGTGTAGTGTATAGTAGTGTAGTGTATAGTAGTGGTGTATAATAGTGCAGTGTATAGTAGTGGTGTATAATAGTGTAGTGTAAAGTAGTGGTGTATAATAGTGTAGTGTATAGTAGTGTAGTGTATAGTAGTGGTGTATAATAGTGTAGTGTATAGTAGTGTAGGGTATAGTAGTGGTGTATAATAGTGTAGCGTATAGTAGTGGTGTATAGTAGTGTAGTGTATAGTAGTGGTGTATAATAGTGTAGTGTATAGTAGTGTAGTGTATAGTAGTGGTGTATAATAGTGTAGTGTATAGTAGTGTAGTGTATAGTAGTGGTGTATAATAGTGTAGTGTATAGTAGTGGTGTATAATAGTGTAGTGTATAGTAGTGGTGTATAATAGTGTAGTGTATAGTAGTGGTGTATAATAGTGTAGTGTATAGTAGTGTAGTGTATAGTAGTAGTGTATAATAGTGTAGTGTATAGTAGTGGTGTATAATAGCGTAGTGTATAATAGTGTAGTGTATAATAGTGTAGTGTAGTGTATAATAGTGTAGTGTATAGTAGTGTAGTGTATAGTAGTGGTGTATAATAGTGTAGTGTATAGTAGTGTAGTGTATAATAGTGTAGTGTATAATAGTGTAGTGTATAATAGTGTAGTGTATAATAGTGTAGTGTATAGTAGTGGTGTATAATAGTGTAGTGTATAGTAGTGTAGTGTATAATAGTGTAGTGTATAATAGTGTAGTGTATAGTAGTGTAGTGTATAATAGTGTAGTGTATAGTAGTGTAGTGTATAATAGTGTAGTGTATAGTAGTGTAGTGTATAATAGTGGTGTATAATAGTGTAGTGTATAATAGTGTAGTGTATAGTAGTGTAGTGTATAGTCGTGGTGTATAATAGTGTAGTGTATAATAGTGTAGTGTATAATAGTGTAGTGTATAATAGCGTAGTGTATAGTAGTGGTGTATAATAGTGTAGTGTATAGTAGTGGTGTATAATAGTGTAGTGTATATTAGTGTAGTGTATAATATTGTAGTGTATAGTAGTGTAGTGTATAGTAGTGGTGTATAATAGTGTAGTGTATAGTAGTGTAGTGTATAATAGTGTAGTGTATAGTAGTGTAGTGTATAATAGTGTAGTGTATAATAGTGTAGTGTATAGTGTAGTGTATAATAGTGTAGTGTATAATAGTGTAGTGTATAATAGTGTAGCGTATAGTAGTGGTGTATAATAGTGTAGTGTATAGTAGTGGTGTATAATAGTGTAGTGTATAGTAGTGTAGTGTATAATAGTGTAGTGTATAGTAGTGTAGTGTATAATAGTGTAGTGTATAGTAGTGTAGTGTATAGTAGTGTAGTGTATAGTAGGGTAGTGTATAGTAGTGTAGTGTATAGTAGTGTAGTGTATAATAGTGTAGTGTATAGTGTAGTGTATAATAGTGTAGTGTATAATAGTGTAGTGTATAATAGTGTAGTGTATAGTAGTGGTGTATAATAGTGTAGTGTATAGTAGTGTAGTGTATAATAGTGTAGTGTATAATAGTGTAGTGTATAGTAGTGTAGTGTATAATAGTGTAGTGTATAATAGTGTAGTGTATAGTAGTGTAGTGTATAGTAGTGTAGTGTATAATAGTGTAGTGTATAGTAGTGTAGTGTATAGTAGTGTAGTGTATAGTAGTGTAGTGGATAATAGTGTAGTGTATAGTAGTGTAGTGTATAATAGTGTAGTGTATAGTAGTGTAGTGTATAGTAGTGTAGTGTATAGTAGTGTAGTGTATAGTAGTGTAGTGTATAATAGTGTAGTGTATAGTAGTGTAGTGTATAGTAGTGTAGTGTATAGTAGTGTAGTGTATAATAGTGTAGTGTATAGTAGTGTAGTGTATAATAGTGTAGTGTATAGTAGTGTAGTGTATAATAGTGTAGTGTATAGTGTAGTGTATAGTGTAGTGTATAATAGTGTAGTGTATAATAGTGTAGTGTATAATAGTGTAGTGTATAGTAGTGGTGTATAATAGTGTAGTGTATAGTAGTGTAGTGTATAATAGTGTAGTGTATAGTAGTGTAGTGTATAATAGTGGTGTATAGTAGTGTAGTGTATAATAGTGTAGTGTATAGTAGTGTAGTGTATAGTAGTGTAGTGTATAGTAGTGTAGTGTATAGTAGTGTAGTGTATAATAGTGTAGTGTATAGTAGTGTAGTGTATAGTAGTGTAGTGTATAGTAGTGTAGTGTATAATAGTGTAGTGTATAGTAGTGTAGTGTATAATAGTGTAGTGTATAGTAGTGTAGTGTATAGTAGTGTAGTGTATCGTGTAGTGTATAATAGTGTAGTGTATAATAGTGTAGTGTATAATAGTGTAGTGTATAGTAGTGGTGTATAATAGTGTAGTATATAGTAGTGTAGTGTATAATAGTGTAGTGTATAGTAGTGTAGTGTATAATAGTGGTGTATAGTAGTGTAGTGTATAATAGTGGTGTATAGTAGTGTAGTGTATAGTAGTGTAGTGTATAGTAGTGTAGTGTATAATAGTGTAGTGTATAGTAGTGTAGTGTATAGTAGTGTAGTGTATAGTAGTGTAGTGTATAATAGTGTAGTGTATAGTAGTGTAGTGTATAGTAGTGTAGTGTATAATAGTGTAGTGTATAATAGTGTAGTGTATAATAGTGTAGTGTATAGTAGTGGTGTATAATAGTGTAGTGTATAGTAGTGTAGTGTATAGTAGTGTAGTGTATAATAGTGTAGTGTATAGTAGTGTAGTGTATAGTAGTGTAGTGTATAGTAGTGTAGTGTATAATAGTGTAGTGTATAGTAGTGTAGTGTATAGTAGTGTAGTGTATAGTAGTGTAGTGTATAATAGTGTAGTGTATAGTAGTGGTGTATAATAGTGTAGTGTATAGTAGTGTAGTGTATAATAGTGTAGTGTATAGTAGTGGTGTATAGTAGTGGTGTATAGTAGTGTAGTGTATAGTAGTGTAGTGTATAATAGTGTAGTGTATAATAGTGTAGTGTATAGTAGTGTAGTGTATAATAGTGTAGTGTATAGTAGTGTAGTGTATAATAGTGTAGTGTATAGTAGTGTAGTGTATAGTAGTGGTGTATAATAGTGGTGTATAGTAGTGGTGTATAGTAGTGTAGTGTATAATAGTGTAGTGTATAGTAGTGTAGTGTATAGTAGTGTAGTGTATAATAGTGTAGTGTATAGTAGTGGTGTATAATAGTGTAGTGTATAGTGTAGTGTATAGTAGTGTATAATAGTGTAGTGTATAGTAGTGGTGTATAATAGTGTAGTGTATAGTAGTGTATAATAGTGTAGTGTAAAGTGTCTATAATACAGGGTTTTTGGGTTAGATCGCGTAAATATATAAATGTGTCGTTAAATCCGCCACCACCCGACACAGCAAATTAATAAAAGGGTTGTCACGTAAACAGAACGTGGCCGATTCGTCCCTAGTACAGCACACCGGTGTGTTGGAGAACCAAGCCACAACAATCACAATCTGAGTACGACGTTTCACCAGTAATTACAACCAGCTCCATCAGGCGACTGCCAGATTTGTGGACAAGTCCAGCTGTTTCGTTCCTTATATAGGCGTCATGACATGTCACACGTGTACACTATTTTTGGGATAGCCCGCACCTCCATATACCCCGCAGGGTCTTGTATTGTTGTAAAAAGTGGTATACCCCGCGGGTTATATGCGGGTAAATATGGTACTTTGTGCTATAGACTCGCTATATACTGCTACTAGCGGGAAAAAATATTTTAAAACTTCTTAAAACTTTAAAACATAACACGTACAAATGAAAATTTGTATCGTTACCTCATTAATTAAAAAAATAAAATAAAACACAACGCGCGGTGGAGGAAAAAAAACCTTGAGCTCGCGCTCCAAGATTCGATTCTTTAAATCGCGACAAGGAATCGAAGGTTATAGTTTTATTTAGAATCGGCCAGTTCCCGTTCAATTGACACCACAAACGCTCACCAGGTATCGATTCTCGCCAGTCCTGCATGCACGGGTTGACGCCCACACACTACTTCAATCCCCCCGCCCCCCCAAATACAGAAGTCTATTTTTATACTTTTCACATTGTGTACAGTCTGTAAACTACCCAAATGCCAAATTTCAAGTTTGTTGCATGTCGGGAAGTATGCTAAACATTTCGAACAGACACACATTCACAAATGTCCCTTATATATACTAGCTTTACTACCCGGCTTCGTCCGGGGCTTGGATTCACGACGCCCGACCGCCTTTGTCTCCCCCAAGTGGCGATGTTCACACACCACACGTTTGAGGCTGAGTCGACCTAGGGGTGGCCCAGGACCGGTTCAAATAATCGTCACCGGTGGTGGCCGTGAGCGGGAATCGAACTCGGGTCGCCGGGTTCGTAGCGCAGCGCGCGAATCGCTACGCAGTCGCTGCCCCCCCCCCACACACACCCCCCCACACACCCCCACACCCCCCCCCCCCCCCACACCCACCCCACACACCCCCCCCCCACACCCCCCACACCCCCCCCACCCCCCCCACCCACCCCACACACCCCACACACCCCACACACCCCCCCACACCCCACCCCCACCCACACCACCCCCCCCCCCCCCACCCCCCCCCCCAACACACCCCCCACACCCCTCCCACACCCCCCCACACACCCCCCCACACACCCCCCCCACACACACCCCCCCACACACCCCCCTCCACACCCCCTCCACACCCCCCACACACATACAGGATAAAGACAAAGCTCCCCCGTGTAGCCTGTGAGACAGTAGGGGGCAAGTTCTGTTAGCGAGCACCTATGAAGGCCGGCACGGCACACGAGGGGGTGGGTGACGAGTGTGAGGGTGACGAGTGTGAGGGTGACGAGCGTGAGGGTGACGAGCGTGAGGGTGACGAGCGTGAGGGTGACGAGCGTGAGGGTGACGAGCGTGAGGGTGACGAGCGTGAGGGTGACGAGCGTGAGGGTGACGAGCGTGAGGGTGACGAGCGTGAGGGTGACGAGCGTGAGGGTGACGAGCGTGAGGGTGACGAGCGTGAGGGTGACGAGCGTGAGGGTGACGAGTGTGAGGGTGACGAGCGTGAGGGTGACGAGCGTGACGAGTGTGAGGGTGACGAGTGTGAGGGTGACGAGGGGAAGGGAGGAGCGGATCACCACTGCTCGCAGGGCGCCGCCATCTTCCAGTCACGTGACGCGGAGTGTGTGCGTGGGTCACGTGACTCCACAGCGGTGGGGGGGGGGGGCGGCAGTGATGACGGACCACGTGACGAGGGGCCGCCGTCAGCCGCTCTCTGTCACCTCCAATCAGAGGCGGCCCCGAGGGATCGGGGCGACCGTCCCGGGCCCTGCACTTGGGGGGGGGGGGGGGTGGCATGGCGCTCTTCGTCGTCACGGGTGTCAGAAGATCCCTGGGTTTAGAACTTTGAGTGTTCTTCTCGTGATCACGTGGATTTTTTCTCCGGGTGCTCCGATTCTTCCCTCCACATTTAACACATTCTCCTGCGGAGGGGGCTGGTAGGAGCGTCGGGTTGCTCCGTCAATGGCCAGGGTCAACGGCGGCACCACCACGTGGTGTGTTCCGCACAATATGCCCGACTGTGAGGGCGGGCACACAAGCCGGCGTGAAGGGTGGGGACCGAGTGGGGGCCTGGGGTGGTGGAGAGAAAAAAAAATCTGTTCCTCAAGGAAAAAAAAAGAGTTCAACACCCACGAATTGGCGACTTACAATGTAGAGATTGAGAGTAGCCGCATACTCCAAACACATGTTGTTGATTCTCCACGTGGAGGGGAAAATGTCGTGAAGATGTTCGTGTTTTTGTTTGTTGTGGTTGCACCCGATTCAAGAGCCGAATGACTCACAGGGCTATACCAAAATAAAGAAAAACTGAAACTGAAAATAAAGAAAAACTGAAAACGTGGTGGGTGGACACCCACCCCCTCGTGTGTACCGTGGTCTCCCTCCCCACCCAGCCCCTCCCCTCCCCACCCAGCCCCTCCCCTCCCCACCCAGCCCCTCCCCTCCCCACCCAGCCCCTCCCCTCCCCACCCCAGCCCCTCCCCACCCAGCCCCTCCCCTCCCCACCCAGCCCCTCCCCTCCCCACCCAGCCCCTCCCCACCCAGCCCCTCCCCTCCCAGCCCCGCCCCTCCCAGCCACTCCCCACCCAGCCCCACCCCTCCCATTTTTGGATGCACGACGGACGGACGGACACAATAATCCCCTGTGGGCTGGTGGTGGAACCAGGAGGTTTTTTTTCAGTTGATTTATTTTGGTATAGCCCTTGTGAGCCATTCGGCTCTTGAATCGGGTGCAACTACAACAAACAAACAAAAACAAAAACCACGAACAAGAAAAACGTCTTAAAGTGACTATGTGTTGACTGTGCAAACAGAAAATCCATGAAAAAAAAACAGCAAAATATTCCTGAAAAAAGCACCCTGGTAGAAACGTGTCTTTAGAGTCTTTGGCTGCTATACATTTTCACGTGCTAAGCCACTTCGTTGAGCGATCATATGTGGCCAAGGCAGCTTCTGAAAAACGACTATATAGCTCAGTGGGCCTTACCTGGTAAATGAAAGTAGTTTAGTTTAGGATGTTATATTATTTTGCTCCTATAACTTTCCACGTGATAAGCGACTTCGTTGAGCTATTCGGTTAGGGGCCGTCCATAAATGACGTCACGCACCTAGGGGGGGAGGGGGGTCACACATTTGTGACGATGTGTGACGAGGGGGGGGGGGGTTGAGAAATGTGACGTCACATCAAAATGCGCAATTTTAAATCAATATAAACAACACGTGCTACTTAATTCAATATAGTTTTTGTCACAACACTCATTTTGATACATTTTTATTAACTATTTGATTATTTAAATTTAGGTCACCTTTGATTTATTCCATGAAGGAGCATTTTGCTTCTCCATGGGCGAATGGAGAAGCATAAATTTCGTATTTTTTTATAATGATTGTTATTAAACATTTTGATTCTAATGATTCTACCAGGGCTTTTCATTCTGTGGAATGAATATGTGATTGTTATAATTGTACTCTCCATTTTGCTTCGTTCTACTACAAAGTTTCAAGTATTTTTTGTAGTTATAATTTCGTTTAATATTTTATAATTATGAGAGAATTGAAATATATTCTGAACATCTGCAGTTTTAGTTAGACGTTGAATATTTTCAAGTTAATTTTATGCTCAATTTCAGCTTCCCAATGCCTCCATTTTAATAAATGTTTTCTCCTAAAACATCAGAGTGCAGCGTCACATTAAATACGCACTACAATGCCAATAGTTTAAAGTGATTTGAAGCATGTTTTATTTTCAAAATGTAAATATGTTTTTTTTGGGGGGGGGGGAAGAGCTTTGTGACGTCATATTTGAGGGGGGGGTCTGACTTTTGTGACGCCGTGGGACGATGGGGGGGGGAGGGAGGGGGGGTAAAAAATCGGCCAAAATCGCGTGACGTCATTTATGGACGGCCCCCTGTGTCCAAGTCGCTTCTGGAAGAAAAATATTCATAGCTAATTGGGCTTTTACCTGGGAAGATATAAAAAAATAGTTTAGTTTTATTTGCATATATTTTTCAGTGACTTGTTTACCTTTCCTCTATGTTGCACCCCTATTGTGTTCGTGTATTGTGTTTGTGGTTGTAACGTTCTGATCCCCGGGCCCCTTACTGAGCATTTGTGCAAAAAGAGCTTCATAGCTCATCTGATTCCTCCAGCATTAATATTCCGATTGGTAAAGTTTGTCACGTAACCAACCTTACCAACTGGCTGTTGTCGGGTGGTGGTGGGTTAACGACACATTTATATTCACGAGATTGTACATAATAAAAGTGATATGGGGTTCAATGGGTTTTCCTGCACAGTCCTCTGCTGCACCTAACCATAGCCCGACAGCAGCCTAAATAACTAAGTAAACTCGTCAAAAACTCAACATATTCGTCATAACGGGCCGTTGACACAACGGCCCTGATTCAGGTAGAATCCGGCCTCGGTGTGTGTTGTAAGGGCGAAAAAACTTGGTCACAGCAGCTGCGTCCAGGTGTTCCAAGATGTTATAGGTGGTGCACAGGAGTGATATCGGGCTATAGCTGCTCGGATCGTCGGTTGGCTTGCCCGTTTTTTTGTTATGGCAATCATCACCATCGCCTCCCACCATGCAACCGGTTTTCATGGTTTTTGTGTACAGGGTTGCCAGCCATTGGTGTCCCCTAGGGCCTAAGTAATAGAGAAATTCTGGGGTGGATACCATCTCTGCCGACAGCCTTGCCTTTTTTCATTGCAGCCAGACCCTCCGTGACTTCCTCTGTGCTGACGGCGGTGGGGTCTTGTGAAGAAATTAAGGCCAATTGTCTGGTGTAATTGACGATGAATCTCTCGCTTGATTTTCGATTTAAAGCTTTCGTGACTGCAAGGATTCGTCTTCTTGGTTCTTTCGGTAAAGTCACGCTTGATGTTTTTGTCTAGCGGTCCTTTTGTGTTCTCCACTAGTTTGGAGGCTATAGAGTTAGGCAGGACTCCGGTATTCTGTTGTTACTGATGCTTACCTGAAACCGGATTCCCACCACCATCCATCCCAGAAGAATTCCCTCATCAAGACTCTGCACCATAGAGTCCAATGCATATCCGACCAGGAACACATAGGCAGTGAACTCAAGCACGTACACCAAGCTCTTAAGGCTAATGGTTACTCCGACTATACAATCCGAAAAGCTATCACTCCAACCATGAAGAAGGACCCTCTTGAGGAGCCTTTCAAAACCATCACTTTACCCTACATTGCGGGGATGAAAAAGATCTCCAAAATCTTGAATAAACACAAGATCCAGGTTCGATTCAACACATTACATAAAATCCGTGATCTGGTTCCGTCTGTAAAAGATGTGATTCCGGACATACAGTACCCTGGCGTCTACAAACTAAGTTGCCTCTGTGGTAGTAGTTACATTGGAGAAACCAAACGACATGTCTCGGACCGAATTCGTGAGCACAAAGCAGACCTGAAACACGGTAGGACCAACACCTCGGTCGTGGCAGATCACTGTTTGAATTCAGTAGGTTCACATGACATTGACTTCTCCAAGACAGAGGTTCTTTGCAAGCCATCTGGCTACCATGAGAGATTCGTTCATGAGGCTATCCATATATACAAACACAGAGACAATTTCAACTGAGAAGATGGATTCTGGCTTAGCAATAATTGGGAGGATTTGATAAACCATTTCGGGTCTTAATTGATTGATCACGCTTAAGGTGGCTTTCAGACCGCATCCATTATTTTTCGTCTCCCCCCTCCTCTTTTCCGAACATAGATGGACTCGTCCATCTGAACAAACTATTAAATCGCTTTCCGTGGTGCTAACGTAAAAAAAAACTCCACTTTTTAATTTTCTTGCTGTGGTTTTCACACCTGATGATGATTGCTTGTGTTGCAGTCGAAACTTCGTGAGAATTGTATTGTTTTTATATATTTTTATTATTTTATTGTTTCCCTTCTACGTGACTTTACCGAAAGAACCGAGAATACCTATTTGTTAGTTCCCTGAAAAGGCTAAATTATTACTTTTAAAATGAATTAGTATCATTCAATGGTTTTAATAGTTATGTTCTTTATTATTATATTCGTATTTGAAAAGTGAAAAAGGTGAGGAGGTAACGAGGTGTCTTCAACCAGCAGTGTACTGATCATGGCTAAGGTTCGTGATTTTATCCGTGTTATTTTTGTAAAACTGATCACAACCGAGGTATGTAACTACTATGAAAAACTAAACTAGTTTTTATTTTACCAGGTGAGGCCTACCGAGATACGTAGCTTTTTTGCAGAAGCGACCTGGCTATCACAAATGACAGCTCAAAGAAGTGGCTCATCACGTGGAAATTGATTGCAGCCAAATACTCTAAACGCATGACGCTGATTCTGGAGGGAAAAACCGGAGGAGTCGGAGAAAATCCACACGACCATGGGGGGAAAAAGAGCCAGACGCAAACTCCAGATATACAGCAGGCGTCAGGGTCGGGATGGAAACTCACGACCTCCTGCGTACCTGGCGAGGGAATTAACATCTCGCCACCACGACGCCTGTATGTCCGTACGTTGAAATTATTCCGCACCGTATGTAGCCAACCACGGGAAAAGCTATTACAATTCATGAAATTTCGTTTCATGCGTGTTTTATTTTTTAAACCCGCATCCCTTTCGTAAAATCGAGGGATGCCTGCATTGGCTGCAAAAGGGCCCTCAACATGTCAAAG